CCCCCCCCCCCCCCCCCCCCCCCCCCCCCCCCCCCCCCCCTCCCCCCCGGGGGTTTTCCTCCGCCACGGAACCATTTCAACCCCCCCCCCCCAAACTCCGGCTTCTCCCCACCCTGCCAGACCACCCCCACCACGGGACCCCCCCGCCGGGCCCCCGTCTCTACCCCCCGCCCCCCCCCCAGTCCCAGCGGTGCCGGGGGCAGATCCTGCTGCAGCTCCACAGGGGCTGAGGCAGCTCCGAGGCTTCTCCCAGGTTCCCCGGGGCGGAGAGTCACTTTCCTGCCCGGCCGAAGCGCCCCCCCCGGGGTCTCTCACTCACCGGCCGGTGTAGAAATGTGTAGCTGGGGCTCGCACCGAGCATGCGCAGTAACAGCTGCTGAAACACCTCCCTTACCTGAGCTGGAAAAGGCAGAAGCGCCCCCCGGGGCATTCTGGGAAATGTAGTTTTTGACTCTCACTCACTGGGGGCCTCCGGCCCGGGCGCTGGTGCGGGCAGAGCCCGGGGCTGCCCAGGGGGCGGGTCCCAGCTTGAGAAAGCCCCCCCGGCCGGGCACGGAGAAATTAATGCCGGGCTCCCCCCGGGTCAGACGGCGGCAGCAGCAGCAGCAGCTTTGTTTTGCCGCCCGCACGGGGACTCGCATGGAGCATGCGCAATTTCAGCTTACCTGGCTGGAGAGGACGGAATCACCCCCCCCCCCCGGAGCAGCCTGGGAGATGTAGTTCCTGACTCCGCAGGGAGCGGAAGTGACGTTCGATAGGGAGGAGGAGGACAGCTGCTGAAACCCTCCCTTCCCTGAGATGAAGAGGGCGGAAGCGGCCTCCGGGGCAGGCTGGAAGATGTAGTTCCTGTCTCTCCCGGGAGCGGAAGTGACGTTAAGCGGGGGGGAGGACGAGTCGGGCTGCGAACGCACGCGGAGCGCTGCGACTCTGCTTGTCTCGTGCGGGGCCGTTGGAGCCTTGCACGGGACCGAGAAGGGTTTTGTGTCTCCCGGCTCTGGGCATGCGCAAATGGGGGGGAGGGGAGTCCCGCATGCGCAGAGGCAGCGCTCACCCGCTGCTGCTCCCTGGCGCTGCTGGGGCCGGGCGGAGCAGGAGGGTCTGTGCCGGGGAGACCCATTAACCCCCCCGTGCCCGGCCCGCGCCCTGCTCCCGCTGGGGCCGCCCCGGGCTCTGCCCGCCCCGCTGCGGAGCTGCAGCCTCCAGGTACCGGAGCGAGCCCCGGGGGCGGGGCCGGGCGGTGACTCTGCCCCAGTGTCCGTGGGGGGGACCCAATCCCGCCCTGGGGCACCACGGGGGGGCGGCCCCACTGGGGTCCCTGCGTGGGGCCGGGCGGGGGCTGCCGGGGGGGGAGACCTGGGCAAAGGGGCAGGTGGAAAATGTCTGTGCAGCCCAGACATGGGGGGGGGAGGAGAAGAGCAGGTGACCCCCATAGGAGCGGGGAGAGGAAGGGGGGGCTGAGATCCCCTCGGATTTACCGCTGCCCCCTCCCGTGGGGACCCCCCCATCCCCCTACTTACTTATTTATTTATATATATATATATATATAGTGTGTGTATATTTCATAGCATCATAGAAATGTAGGGCTGGACAGGACCTCAAGCTGTCATCAAGTCCAGCTCTCTCTGCCGAGGCAGGACCAAGTCTATGTAGATTATCTCTGACCGAGATTTGTCCTACCTGTTCTTAAAAACTTCCAGGGAAAGAGACTCCACAGCCACCCTTGTAAGACTATTCCAGAGCTGAACTACCTGAGCTCTGGTGACACCCACACAGATTTTAGTGGTGAGCAGCTCTGGAGAGAGGAGACCCCAGTGAGAGGGCAGCTGGGTAAATAGACTAAAGTTGGGAGGAGAAATATTGATGCGTCCAAGGGCACCCAGGCTGTCTGTGATAGAGCTAGAAATAGATCCCAGTTCTAGTGTCGCCCTACTGCTGTTTTGGGTACTCAAGGTCTCTGCCACACTGGTGTTTTAGGCACTGGTGCAACCCTTAGTATAGACAATTTACACGAGTGCACTCTGATTGGCACTGGTGCACTATGTCCCAATTTGAAGGCTTGCGGGGGACGACGACAGTGACCTCACTGAGGCCTGGGGCTGGCTGAACAGTGCAGCTGGTAATGGAGGGGCAGCAGTGAGTGCTGGAGGTATGAGCCAGGAGCACAGCCCCACAGGACTGGACACGGACTTCTCCTAACCCAGGACACACCCGCAGCTGTGTGCCGGGACTGCAGCTGAGCTGCCCTGCCAAGACAGCCTGTGCATCCATGGACAAACCACCTCTTCCTTCATATTAATACAATGGGGTCTGGGGACCTTTCCAAACTGCGGGTGACGGGGCTCTGGTGTTACCGGGGTCTGTTCCTGGCTCTGTCACTGACCTGCTTGGTGACCTTGGGGAAGTCACAGCCCCTCTGTGTTTTCCTCCTACCCATTGTCTACTTGGATTGTGATCTCTTTGGGGCAAGGACTGTCCCTCTCAGTCTGTGCAGTGCCCAGCACAATGGAGTGCTGATCTCAGTCAGGTTCTCTGCCATGTGCAGCACGATGGGGCCCCTGATCTCCATCAGTGTCTGTGCAACACAAAGCACAGTTTATAGACTCACAGACGTTAAGGCCAGAAGTACTAACCCTTTCCTGTGTCTACTGGAAATACCTCGCCTGATGCATCCTAGGACTGCATTAACTTATTTCACGGCCGCATCACATTGGCAGCTCATAATTATCCTGTGATCAACCAATACACCTAGGTCTTTCTCCTCCTCTGTCACTTCTAACTGATAAGTCCCCAGCTGATTGCAAAAATTCTTGTCGTTAGCCCCTAAGTGCATAACTTTGCAATATTAATTTTCATTCCATTTGTATTACTCCCGCTTTCAAGGTCATGCACATTTTCTTGTATGATTTTCCTGTCCTCCTCCATATTGGCAATTCCTCCCAGCTTTGTGTCACACTCCTACTTTTTGTGCCAAGGTCACTAATAAAAATGTTGAATAAGATCGGTCCCAAGACTGATCTCTGAGGAACTCCACTAGTAACTTCCCTCCAGCCTGACAACTCACCGTTCAGTATGATCCCCATGTAGACTCCCCTTTAACCAATTTTTTATTAACCTTTCAGTTCTCATATTAATCCCCACCTTCTCCAATTTAACGAATCGTTTCCCATGTGGAACTGTATCAAATGCCAGGTTTCTCTGGCACAATCTACCTTTTGTAACACCATGTTTTATTTATTTATAGTGCTGACGGCTGGGAGGAACTGTTAGCAATAGGCTGAGAATGGCCATGTGGAGGTGGGGGAGGGGATGGCAGACAGTGTAGAGGTGGGGGAGAGGATGGGATGTTGGAGGTATATCTGGGATTTTGGTTTGTAGGAGTCCATGTCTCTGCTCTCTGTGGCCGTGGTGCATTCCGTACCAAAGCAGCATGTCAGCAAAGCAGACGCACACACCATAGCTCCATCTGGAACACGCAGCATTCACTGCCAGATGGGATGGGTGATTTTTCAGGGGCCCAACTTGGTATGCCTGGCTGGGGTGGGTTCAGTTGGATGAGGGTCTGGGGCTCTGATAGTTTGCGATGTTCCATTTTGCATAGTCAGTTCCTTCCCTTTTCTGTCTTACCCCCACCCATGCCCGATGTCACTCTCTTCTTAACTTGCTTCGGTTATTTCAGTTCCAATTTTTAAATGGGATCTAATAATTACAAAACTTGATGAAAGATAAAACAAACAGAACCATTTCAATTTTGGCACATAGCTGGTAGATCTATACCTAGTGAAGGTCTGCTGTAATTACCTGGTTACCTATAGCATTTTCTGGTGGGGGTGGATAAAGCAGTGTCAAAGAGCCAAAAGCACTTTTTAGTGCAAAAGGGCTCGTCAGGTGTTTGCTCTCTAAGGCTACGTCTACACTACCTGCCTGAATCGGCGGGTAGAAATCGATCTCTCGGGGAGAGCACCTATTGCGTCTCGTCGGGTCGCAACATTCAATCCCCAAATCGACGCTTGTATTCCACCAGGGGAGGTAGGAGTAAGCGCCGTCGACGGGGGAGCTGCGGAGGTCGATTTGCCGCCGTCCTCACAGCGGGGTAAGTCGGCTCCGATACATCGAATTCAGCTACGCTATTTGCGTAGCTGAATTTGCGTATCTTAAATCCGACCCCCCCCCCCCCCGCCCGCCCCGTAGTGAGGATGTAGCCTTAGGAATAT